ATCCCATTCACGTATCCAAACTTCTACCTCCCATTTCTACCCTGATCCAACAGTCCCCCCTGGACCGATCCATCCCTCCAGCCTAGTCGTCCAGCCCACAGCTCTCAGAGCTGGACGAGCCGCAACAATAGCGGCCGGTCGAACTGTGTCGAAGCTCGCCCCCCCCCCCCCCACTCACCCCCCCCCCTCCGGGTCACGTGGGGCGAGCTCGATCAATAGCCCGGCGCCGCCGCTGCTCCGCTGCTCTTCCTCTCCCTTCCTCTCTCTTCCAGAGAGCTGGGCTGGCCCGGATCCTTGGGAATTCTACACTCGGCATGGACCTCAGTGCTGGGGCTTTCCTTTTACGTCAGCTGAGTACCTAGTGAGCATGACATGTCCTCTGTAATTATATTTTTAGCTTTTACCATTCCTTATATACCTTTTTTATATTATTAAAAAAGGTATTTCTACCTTTTTTAAAAATAAATTTTACAATTTTCATATAATTTTTTTCTCTCTCAAAAACACCTTCTAAACAATTGAAATGATAGTTTCGCATTTTGCTCAACAATTTTAAAAAGGAGAATGGAAGCTGGGGCCTGTGAGTGATTTTTCCGTGGTTGTTTTCGCCCGCTGTCACCAGCAGTGGGCGCTAGCAGTGGGCGCGTTTACCCTGTCTTGCCCAGATGTGATCTACTAAAGCACCTAGAAATGTTGACATTGCAGTGTGAATCATGTAGGTAAAGTGTGTGTCCAGGATTGATTTTTCGGTCCGTTTTAGCCCCACCCGTCGCTTGTAATTACGTGGCCTATAAAGAGAATGACAGAAGCCTTGGAAACTGGTAGTCAATCGCAGGACGGTTGGACAGCGTCACTTCTATGGTATCTTACCGGTGACTCAAGCCAAACATATCTGGTTCGGGGAATGGCTGCGCCCCTTCTGCCTTCAGATTGCGGGATTCAGACAGGAACACTGCATACCCAGAGACAAGCCCTCAGAGGATGACGTGGCGCATTGACAATTTGATCGAATAAGGGTCTGCAAAATGTACAACTTTGTTTATTACAAAGCAAAAAAGAAAAGCGCAAAAATAGCTTTGTTGATAAGCAAAGAAGAGCAAAAACGTAATGGAGCTGTTGCTTTCTCACTGGTATGTGCGGTTATAATGATCTTCAGACAGACAGTTCAGCAATGAGCCGAAACACATAAAACGAAATATGCACGAAACGTAGGTACGTAATTGGAACAACCCGCTGACATGCGTAGGTAGATCATCAGCATTTGGTATGTTTTTAGCAGGGCTGCTGAGTCGATGGATTTTCTGGTGACTCCGACTCCGACTCTAGCTCAGGCTTCAAAAATCGACTCCGACTGCGACTCCGAAGCCCTGGTTTTTAGCACATCTCACTGAACAGAAGCAGAAAGTCCCATTGCTTTTAATTTGCGCCTTGAATCGATTTGACCATTATTTGTGTTCTGCCTAGTGCCTATAACGATAAGTCATGATTGCAAGTGCAACGCGACTCATTCATCAGCGGGGGATCATAAAAGGCATGGGTGATATTTCTGCGCTGATAAACACTTCCAAAAAGAATTATTTAATTATTTTTCAAAACCACGTGGCAGTTATTTCCAAACTATGTACAACGATATTTCTGCTTTTTATTTTTTTTTGAAATGCAAACTATAAAATCAACCAGAGCAAGCGCGTCGGTATATTTTATTTTTAGATAAACTACATGGCTACATCTCTAGCCTTGTAGGGTTAATGCCTTGTCAGTCTAGCTTCGTCAGTATTATATGGCCTGATGTATACAAGCTCGAGATATTCGTTTCCAAAATTAAATAACACGAGATATTCATTTCAAAATTAAAGAACATAAAGCGAATGTGGTTCAGAATAATGATGGACATCTTCAAAGACATGGCCCATAACTCTGCCCGACAGCAACAATGAACAAAACAAGTTTAATCTTCTGAGAGCGACCAAATCCAAGGCTTCTGAAATGTCTCAACGAAATCCACAAATGTAGCCCCATATCCCGGAGGTCAATTCAATCACCGACTGACACGCCAATTTCCATAATGTAGTTCGGCAGAACATCGAGATAGTGACGTCAGAGGGACCCGACCCCATTGTCCGGTTTGACCTCAGACAGTGGTAACGATTCGTGTCGACCGATAGGCCGAATGGTCGAAGCCGAGCTGACGGTCGATACCGAGAGGTCGAACGGTCCCCGATTCGTCTGAAAGCCTGACAGACCGAGATTACTTTGTGGAAGTCGAGTAAATCCCAAAGGGATTTGAAAAATCCGCTATTCGCCGATAAATGCTGATTGCGGCGAGACGATTGGCAGTCGATTCGACCTATCTTGATAACAATCTTTGCTTGATTACAATCGCTTTTGAAGATATTTTTTGAACATTTCTTTGTTTCCATATAAGAAATAAAAAATCATAAAAATGTCGAGTCAAATGGATCGTGTAGTTTGTTTCCGGTAATAATGCCATCGGTGTTGCCAATGTAGCCCACACTGAGGCTGAACCAGATAATAATGCCACTTAAGAAGCTCCATCATGTTACCATGACAACCCATGTAAACGATACCGTACCCGGCAGCGACATGGTTCTGAGAATGGAAGTGCAGTTTTAGGTCGTATACCGCTTCCGTCTGATTGGTCGCACTTCCGCTAAACTGACGACAAGAGAGACGATGTAAAAAAGAAGCCGTGAATCGTGGCCTGTGTCAAGTCTGAAGAACAAAGGAATGAATCTAGAGGCACAAGAGTGACCAGTAGAGGCTCGTGTTATCTAAAGCTAAATGTTGTGTAAGCAGCCACTGCTAAGCCATTGCGAGACGTAGTTTCAAATCGCAGAAACTACATCGACTAAACATAAAGCTCTGACATCTAACGTGGCTTCAACACGTTGTTCCCGGACGTTTTATATAACGGCCTTTGCATAGCGCTTCGACGGCCAAAATTGTTCAACGTAATATTTCTGGCTTCAATATCGCATGAATGCGCCATAGACCACTCTCTTTGGCTGCTATTCTACTTTTCCGTATGTCAATGTATGCCAACTTTTTGTGTTGAAGCTCCAAAACGGCAAACATGCCATATACGGTCCTGTGTGATATTTACCATCCAGGCAATTGACTCCCAACCGACGATAAGACCACAGTGTCCAAATGGTCCAGTGGAGGCGCACACTGTGACTGCGTGCCGACCAAACAATCCGGTGAATTCCGCGAACTATTGACCGGAGCGATGGTTACAGAAGTGGCGACCGGCTGCCATCGCGCCGCGGGCCGCCAGCTGATACAGGGGTCATACAGGGGTCATAAAGGTCATAGAGGGGTACTGGGGTCATACAGAGGTCACAAAGGGGCATTGGGGGATGCAAATGTCACAGGATACAAGGGTCACAACTGATACAGGGATACAGATGGATACATAGGTATTACTGATACAGAGGTCTCAAGAGGGATAAAGAGGGAATAGCAAGTCACGTAAACATACGAGGGTAACAGAGGAGTGCTAAGGGACACAGAGGTTGCAAAATGATACAGAAGGATACATCGTCATAAAAGGATAACAGAGGGTTACATAGTTTTCATAAGGATACAGAGGTTATCGGATATAAGCTTATGGGATTTAAGGGAGGCAGGATGTAGGGGTAACATAGGGATACTGTCAGAAACGGAGGTCTCATATAAGATGCAGAGGTCAAAGGATAAAGGGGTTACGACTGATACAGAGGTCAATACTGATACACAGACTAGTGGGTCAAACTTTGGCTCAAAGCCGCAAGAAATTAAATATTCTATTACTGATCATAGAAACTGTCTTCCTTTATCTGTTGCTCATTCAAGTTCAATTTATTCGTCAATCCAAAGACTGACATGCCTTATATTTGTAGCACTATATCGTCTATAGCGCCCCATGTATAACAGCGAGAGAGTTAACTTTGATAGCCTGCCACTCTCAGGGATTTATATGAGAATACGGAAATAAATTAGCATTGAAATAGCCACAGCGTGATAGCGATAGCCAGCTATTTTGAGGATGACATCTTACATAATTTCATGGTGAATGAAAAGCGCTCCCCGAAGTATGAAAACTTTTCACGAAGGATGGGAGCGAGAGCTGAATGGAAGATTATGTCCCTGTTTTAGCTAGGGCAGCAGGAATACGAACCGGCACCAATACTATGCTATTTCTGATTCCTGAAATACCAGGGTAAGCGGACTGATAAGCGTATCATTCCGGTTTTAGTGACTGCAATGGTCTCAAATACCTGAACCCCTGTGCTTTCTCCAAGGATGAGACCTTCTCACACTGGATCGCGACGTTATCTATATGTGCACAATTTTTCTGCAGAATGTTTTATCAGCAGCGCAGATACAGAGGTCAGTTGTCAGCAACAAAAAGTCAACCATCAAAAGTCATCGACGAAGATTCGATAGTCAGTTGTCGACAGTGAGCTATCAATAGTCAATAGTTAGTATTCAGAAGTCATTCGTCTGTAATCAGAATTAAGAAGTAATGGCTAGCCTTCGGGATTCATTAGCCGGAATAAGGCAGTATACACAAATCAATAGACATTAATTAAGCTCATAATCATCAGCATTTCGCCGGATAGTTGTTTGTTGGTAGGTATGGTAATTTGTAAGTACATACGCTTGGTAACCGATGCCAAGCATTTGTATTTAAATAGAAAAATATATGCCCCTTTTCTGCTATAAAAGATATTAAAAGTATATCTTGTAGTCCTCAGCTAGAGCTTGAAAGTCAAGTCCGCAATGAGGGATTTATAATTTGAACTCTGGGAGCTAAACTCAGGTTTCTGAAGTCTGCGGTCTGAGGCATCCGTAGCCAAAATTCCACTACAATAACTCCGCAATGATTATTCCTCGATTTGCGCCAGTAACCCGTGCTCGGTACCTCTTCCCATGTCTATGGTAAGTCGAGAAGGATCGAAGGGGGGGGGGAGGTCGAAGGGGGCCCGGTTACTTACTCTGAGGCGTCGATGAAGTAGATGACCAGCGAGGCGATGCTCAGGATGAAGACCAGCACCACCTGTCAGACACAGAAAGGACGCAACGTCAGCATAAGACGGCGGTGAAACAGACAGAACTATACTCTGTTCCGTTTCAAGCTTGCAGCCGAAGTGCCCTGCTGAAAGCAGTGCGTGATTACTGTATATACATACAGCTCTTACATTTTAACTGCATTTTAAGACGCAAATTCTTGAGCGGAGGAGCGATCTGCCGAAGAAACTCCGACTACAAGTTTGATATGGAACAGACTTGGAACAGACTACAGAAGTCAGAATTTGACGGTGATGAAGAAAAAAACACGAAACAGCGCTAATGCGAGATAGGACTAGTGTTACGACGAAACATGAAAAAGAAAAAGCGCTAGCTGCGAAACATGACGGTGAGTGGTGATGAAACATCCTGAATAACAGTGTTTCTGCGAAATAGGGCTTGACGTGACGAAACATGAAAAATGAAAACAACAACAGGGTTTGACGTTGACAAACCATTATGACGCAGCGAAAAATACTAAAAAAAACCGCTGACGCCAGATTGGACGGAACACATGATAGCCGTTTTCACAACGGCTATCTGGTACACATTTGGTGCAGATTTGGTGCAGATTTGGTCAACTCAGGTTCATTGTGCTTCTTAAAAGTTGTCAGTTTGGATTGCACAGATGTTTCTGTTCCTCATTTCACAAATTATCAGACATGATTTTTGATTAAAACACTGAAATAAGTTCATGATATAAAAAAAATTGTTGTAAAAGATATTTGGTGCAGACTTTGTCAAATCAGGTGCATTCGCCAGATAACCCGTCGTGAAAACGGCTATTATGAAGCCTTTTTCCTCGGAGAGTTCCGGCAAGGATAGGAGGCCATCAAGCTGACATTGTAAACACTGACCAATTCAAATCAAACAACGCACTTCTTTGAATCAGTATAACGCTCTAGGCTTTTTGAACCAAAAAGGCGTTGTCTGCAACCGCTGTAAGGGAGTCAGTTGCCAACGTCACATTGTTAAGGTTTCGTCAATGTGTTATGTCACAAATTCAGGGTTTGACTTGGGTCTACATAGGGCCTAAGGAAAAAAATCCTTATTAATTATTGCGGTAAGGTAAAAGAGTGGTGCATTTTTGGTCATAAGCGGAGCGCTAATCGACACGCTTGGGTGTGTGTATGTTTGCGAGAGTAATCTGTAATTGTGAGCGAGTTTGTTTGGGCGAGGGCTCGCTGATGTTTGTGACAATGTTCAAAGGCCGGCCTAACGAGCCTAGCTACCTCGCTGGTAAAAATATCCCGCCGACAAACAGCATGCTATAGGTAAACTGACAGCCCCACAGGAGCTGTGGTGCCGGTAAGCAGTGACGAAATAACACAGGATGTTATTTGTACAGCGGTGGCGGACTCACGCAGAACAGAAACCACGCGCTGTTCTGAGGTGCAGTCCCCAAACAGAGAGGATTTTGCCAAATTACGAGACTGAATGCCGTCGTGCACACAACATTCCATAATCACAAGGTCTAAGCCACCCTAAAATATCGTCTTCTGGTCACATCTCTTCCCCATCTCTTGCGTATTTCCACTTCTTTAACCTCGGTTGTCACTACTTGTTGCCACATCTACAACCCAACTCCTATATGCGTTTTGGGTGTCATAGTTTCATTTGATTCGTAATTTTAGCTTCCAGTCGCGCCATCATACTTATAGGTATGCTAAAGACGCAGCTTCATTAAAGGGACACTCCCACCTTAACATTAGTTTTGAGTTGAGATAGCCAAATTGGTGGCCATGGCCTGCAAATACCGGTTTGGGCACTCACAACATCGACAAATGCTTTAATTCGGAGATATGGAATTTCAAACTTGCAGTTTTCGGATTCTAAGGGGCTAGTGCATTGGTATGCCCCCTTAGAATTTGTGACGTCAGCGGAGATCTAACGATTTTTAAATCTTTTACTAAAACGTTTAGTAGCACGCGGTGGTATATGCTGCTTTGCGCGCAACAAATGCCGCACTTTCAAATAAAGTCGCTAGGAACAGCGGAGATCCCAAAAAGTAAACAAAAGTAAAAGTCTAATATCTTGAAAACCGGTGAATATTTTTCGATGAAATTTGGTAGATATTCGTTTTCGCTCTTTCTGAACCGAGCGACATCACTTTCGTGCCAATTCATTAACTTTTTTGAAGGTGGGAGGGTCCCTTTAAGTTTCAGGTTTTAGGACCATTTTACCAGTTGCTTTTGTTGGCCATGTGCTCTCTCTCTCTCTCTCTCTCTCTCTCTCTCTCTCTCTCTCTCTCTCTCTCTCTCTCTCTCTCTCTCTCTCTCTCTCTCTCTCTCTCTCTCTCTCTCTCTATCTCTCTCTTTTCCTCTCTCCCCCTCTCTCTCTCCTCCATTCCTCCTCCCTCCCTTCCTCACTTCCTCCCTTACTCTTCTCCTTCTTCCTCTCTCCCTCTCTCTCTCCTCCATTCCCCCTCCCTCCCTCCCTTCCTCACTTCCTCCCTTACTCTTCTCTTTCTTCCTCTCTCCCTCTCTCTCCCTCTATCCCTCTCTCTCTCTCCCTCTCCCCTCTCTCCGTCTCGGTCGGAGGACGGGACCGGATGCATAAGGCTGCCCAGAGTCCAATCGATAAGCGTTGTCATGGTTACGGTCCCCACCATCGTCCGCTCAAAGCTTGGATGGATGGGCAGAGTAGGTCATTCAGCTGAGCTGGGCTGAGCTGAGCTGGGCTGGGCTGAACTGGGATAAGCTGAGCTCAGGTGAGCTGGGATCAGCTGAGCTGGGCTTTGGAGCTGGGAATAAGGTTTGTGTGAAGTGAGGGCTCTGGGCTTGGCTGGCATTTGTGAAGCGGGTGGTAAGAATGGGCTATAATTGCATTATGTCTTCTGTTTGGTCAGTTTTTTCTTCATTAACTACCTCAGACAATGCAGGGTACCACCTCAATGTGTTGGTGATAGTTCTATTATCAGAGACAAGTAGGTACCCTTGACCCACACACACACATACGCGCATTAAAGCACCGCGGCCCCCTGTCTGGGTTATGCTTCCTGTCTGCGGCCTAACCCCAAGACAGGGGGTTATGTCCCCTGTCTGTATTATGTTTCCCGTCTGGGTTATGTCCCCTGTCCGGGTTATGTCCACTGCTCGGATTATGTCCCCCCTCCCGGCGGACAGTAAAGGGCAGTGTCTCTCTGCCTTGGTTATCCCCCCCCCCCCTCCCGGCGGACAGTAAAGGGCAGTTCAGGCCACTGTCTGGGTCAGCTCTCGCACCCCTCCCGAATCCCGGCCGCGGCGGAGGGCAGCCAGCCAAGTTGGCAGCTCGGGCCGGTCCGACGGACGCTGACCTGGAACAGTACTGGCCGTCGGCACCGACGGAAAAGTGTCGACGCCGACACCTGGGCACCACCGCAACAACGCACCTACAACACACCATCCGCAACAACGCACATACAACACACCATCCGCAACAACGCACATGCAGCACAACATCCGCAACAACGCACATACAACACACCATCCGCAACAACGCACCTACAACACAACATCCGCAACAACGCACATACAACACATCATCCGCAACAACGCACATACAGCGGGACGCCTAAACACCTGTATGTACACAATACATACATCGCCGAGACAACAGCTGGGCACAACAGCAACAACGCACACATAGCGGCACACCTAAACGCATGTACGCAACACACGCCACACACCTACATACATTGCCGAAACAACATATGGGCACAACCGCAACAACTCTCATATAGCGGTACACCTGCGTACCATTGCACACACACACACACACATATACATCAATACTAGTGATGTCAATTACGGAAAATCGGAATACCGATACCAAACCAAATACCAACCAAAACCGTGGAGAAATACTGAAACCAAACCAACTTGGGAACATGAGGAAAATACCAACTTTTTACCGATTTCTTAGCCTTTTAAACATTAGCGAGGGTTCATGATACCAACAAAATACCAAACACATTAGGATTGAAATACCAAATACCGACTTGGTATCGGTTTGGTATCGGTATACTAAAAAGTTGGTATCCGATTGACATCTCTAATCAATATACCTACATTGCCGAGACGATGGCACCTGCGTACACCACCAGCCCTGCTGCGTGTAACGGCACACCCACATACCATACACACACATACAACGCCACACCCACATACTTACACACATACGTCACACCCACATACCATACAACCATACAACGTCATACCCAAATACCATACACACAAAACGGCACAACCACATACAACGTCACACCCACATACCATGCACGCATATAACGGTATCCACACACACAACGGCACACCCACATACCATACACACATATAACGGTATCCACACATACAACGTCACACCCACATACCATACACGCATACAACAGCACACCCACATACCATACACACATATAACGGTATACACACATACAACGTCACACCCACGTACCATACATACATACAACGGCATACCCACATACCATTCACAGATACAACGGTGCACCAACACACATACATATTACCACCGAAACGACATAGACACACAGTACACACATACACCGACATACATACATCACCGAGGTGCGGGCACGCTCGCACCTACACAAATACAACAACGATACAGCCACATACCTACTGTCCTACATATCCATACGCATCAGTGGAGCAAAGAACGTAGCTTTTTACGCACACAATATCGGATCACCTACGCACCTACAAGTCAGCTTTAGCGTGCAAACGCACCTGCACAAATACATATATCCAGGGGCGTAGGCAGGGGGGGGCCACTGGGCCATGGCCCCCCCCCCCCTTGGGCGCCGAAGGCGCCCTTTGCGATTGGAGGGCGCCGATCAGGCGCCCTCCAATCGCAAATGCAATTGTGATATAATCGAATCGAAAAACAATCGCGACTGGAGGGCGCCCTCCAATCGCGAATGTGTTTACAGGGAAAATACGGATGGAGGGCGCCCTCGGAGGACGCCCATTCCAAGTACGCCCTCCAAATACG